GGAAAAGGTTCATGCCTGGGATATAGCTGACTGGGACTGGAACACCACTGCTGGTATGATGGACTCAGTTCTGCAAGGGGAGGGTGTCCAGGCCTGATCCTGGAGGCCAATATCGATTGATTGAGCTCACTGGGCTCATTAAGAGCTGAGTTGGAATGAAAGGCAGCACATAAGCCCTCCAGGTGTGGACTGCTCACCCCTGGAACAATAGGGTGTCTTCAGCCTGCTGTGCAATAGTGACCCCCGGAGTCTCCGTGGAGAGACGCATCCCTCTTTTCTTTAATTAATAATAATAATAATTGCTTACACTTATATAGCGCTTTTTCTGGACACTCCACTCAAAGCACTTTACAGGTAATGGGGACTCCACCACCACCAATGTGCAGCATCCACCTGGATGATGTGACACAGCCATAGTGCGCCAGAATGCTCACCACACATCAGCTATCAGTGGGGAGGAGAGCAGAGTAATGAAGCCAATTCACAGATGGGGATTGTTAGGAGGCCATGATTGATAAAGGCCAATGGGGAAATTTGGCCAGGATGCCAGGGTTACACCCCTACTCTTTTCAAGAAACACCCTGGGATTTTTAATGACCACAGAGAGTCAGGACCTCGGTTTTACATCTCATCCGAAGGACGGCGCCTGTTTACAGTATAGTGTTCCCATCTGGCCCCCCTAGCACCTCTTCCAGCAGCAACCTTAGTTTTTCCTAGGAGGTCTCCCATCCAGGTACTGACCAGGCTCATACCTGCTTAGCTTCAGTGGGTTGCCAGTTGTGAGTTGCAGGGTGATATGGCTGCTGGCAGTAACTTTTCCGTAACAGAGTGCGCTGGTCATCTCCACAATCTGTGTGCTGGAGAAAAGCAGATGTGGTCCATATCTCTCTTGTGCTGGTACAGCCATAGAAGTCACCTGGACTGTAAAACTGGTGATTTTTTATTGTTTGTGTGTAAAATGTTAAAATAATTTATGTTGATTCCAAAATTAAGAAAGAAAAACTCCTGGGGACCCAAAACCCGGCTCTCAAAGGAACAGCACTGGGTGAGAATTATAGTTATTACCTCTGGCTGTGCAGCCTAGGCTTTACAGCTCTGGTGTGAATCGTGCACAACGGCTCATATGCAAATTCAATTTTCCAACTGTGTGTTATTAATATTAGCAATAATAAAATCACACTTGAAAAACAAGCTCTCAAATGAAGCGTGAAAATTGCTCTAAAGGGGGCAATGTTTCAGGACGTGAAATGTATGACATTCAGAATGAGGGTCATGGAGAGTTCAGCTGCGAAGGGGTTTAAGATTTAGACTGGTGTGGAGCTCAACACACTCAGCTGCTTCATAGGTGGTGTTAAAGGAGACATTACACCTGTGTAACTTTTTGAAACTGAAGTGTGGTTTAACATAACACAGAAAGTTGCGTGCTTTGTCTTAGCTTCTGACAAGGCTTGTTTGTCATTTCTAAGTTTTTCCCAAACTGTATAGACCACCAAAAGCGTTATCTACACATAACAGCAATCTGAAAATAAACAGCCTTTACGTGAAGCCAGCTTTTTGTTTCAACAACTGGTCTCACAGTGCTGAATGAGGCGGAACGCAGTGTGTGGTTTGTGTGAAATCTGGGACGAGGGTTCTCACGAACATTCTGCAGAGGGAAATGTGTTTGTTCTAGAAAAACTATCTGGAGTCACAAGGTGATATTCCAAACACTGCATCTCTCGGTCACCCTAAGAAATCAAGTTTGTTATTCCTCTTATTTAATTGCCAAGCACCCATCTCCATTTGCCCTGCTGAAGATATCACATAATAATGGACGTTTAAATAAAATCAGCCTGCCCTTCTGTTTATAGCAATGCTGAATAATGGCGAGACACCTATTCCCATCGGGAGTTTAACGATCGAAGACTGGCATGATCTTCATTATGCAGATCTTTTTCTTGTACATGAAGCTTCTAAAATTCTCTATAATGGATTTTAGACTCTCCAATTATTTTTGTTTTATGAGATTTAATTGCATTAAATGACCTAGACATGCCAGGAGATAGTTAATGACCAATCAGTCAGGATCTAAGTTTAATCTCTTCCAGAACACAGCATTCTCTTCATCACAGTGCTCATGGTCATCTTACATTGGTTTGCATACCCTGGTCCAGAAGGCATAGCACCACCTACTGGTCCACCTACTGGTCCACTAACACAGCTTATTATGGCAACCTAGTGCACCTGACTCTCCCAGCACTAACCAGGCACAGCCTTTCTGAACTTCTGACATCTGGCGCAATCAGTATAGACCAAAGGCAGCCAACTTTGGCACCTGGCTTCCAAGTCATTCCAGGACTTTGAAGCTTTCAATACATCTAGTGCTGAAATGATTCTCAATTGCTTAATGACCCAGGTGCCGCCAATCACTTTGAAAATAATAATAATAATAATAATAATTGCTTACACTAATATAGCGCTTTTCTGGACACTCCACTCAAAGCGCTTTACAGGTAATGGGGACTCCCCTCCACCACCACCAATGTGCAGCCCCACCTGGATGATGTGACGGCAGCCATAGTGCGCCACAACGCTCACCACACATCAGCTATCAGTGGGGAGGAGAACAGAGTCATGAAGCCAATTCATAGAGGTGGATTACTAGGAGGCATGATTGGTAAGGGCCAATGGGAAATTTGGCCAGGACGCCAGGGTTACACCCCTACTCTTTTCGAGAAACACCCTGGGATTTTTAAAAATGACCACAGAGAGTCAGGATCTCGGTTTTACGTCTCATCCGAAGGACAGCGCCTGTTTAAAATGATGGAATAGCTGGAGCACAGACCTACAGTGGCATGCAATCCAGATGCCAAGGTTGACTGCCACTGGGCTAGATGGCACTGATGCCACCGTCAGCCTGCTTTATCTGCCTAATCAAGGGCGACAACCCCTACACCCGCATGGGGCAAATAAGCAGAGACGGGCTCCTTCACCCAGCCCTTTGTGCACTGCCACGTGGGGAATTCTGCCCACAGCTGGGTAGTAACATGACCCGCCTTCGAACCCAGAGAGTCTTGGTGGTTGAAAATGTTATTGGTAAATGACAATAAAACCATGCCGAGGTGCTAAGACTCCCTGCTGCTGTCAATGTAGACTCACAACATCAGAAACCCTCAGGCCAGCGGAATAGGCTCTCTGTCAATATAATTTGTTCGTCTCAGGGGTGTGAGAAAGCTGCTCTTCACTTTCCAATGCCAGACCAATCCCCAGGTCTCAGTCCTACCAAGAACTGGCAGCTCAAGTGGTTCAAAGCTCATCACCGCCCAAATCCAAGGGGATTCTGCTGGAAGACGTTAAAGGGATTGGGCTGCAAATACTTACAAAATAAAGTAATGTAATGTGGTTCAAGTATGGAAATGCATGCTACATCCTGTTCAAACCGTCCTTTATATTTTCTGATACTAAACAGGAGCTGCAAATTCCATTAGAAATTCTTTAGAACCTGTAATAGATTGAAAGGTCACCTACAGTCTGAATAATGAATAACCCGGTAGTTACCAATCCTATTAAAGATTAATCATGATTAGTAACAAAACACTTGTCTTTATGTGCAAATGTGTTAGTGATTGACAACCGAGTGTTTATGTCTTGTTTGTTACATGTTTATAAGGTGTCATTTACAAGCCACAAAGCCACAGTGTAAGTAAAAATGCTATGTAGCAGGGTTCCTAATGTTTTTGGCTGATGAGTATAGCAGTTCAAACACTGAGATATTACCACTATGATGTTGTTTTACAGATCATCAGGAGTGGAACTTGTTTTCATGAACAGATATATGACAGTTTGAAGTAAAATGACTTTATTAGCGTCAGCACAGAGGTGTGGTGGTTAGGACTGCTATTCCAACTTTGATTCTTGTTGAGGTACCTTCTATGTGGAGTCTGCATGCTGTCAACATGAGGTTTCTTTGAGTACTTTGGTGAGTTAGGTAGGTTAATGGGTATCTCTAAATTCAGGTGTATCCTTTCCGATTGACATCTACAGTTAATAATACAATGTCCTGTTGTATAATAATAATAATAACAACAACTTTATTAACCCTTTACAATTTCTTGCATTAGGAATTATCTTTTGGCATACCCCAGCTTGCTCTCCATGAGACACAGAGAGAGAGAGAGCCTGGGGTCAGAGCGCAGGGAGGGGAAGGGGTTGGGGTTAAGGGCCTTGCTCAGGAGCCCAACAGGGTAGGATTCCTCTGCCAGCTGCAGGATTTGAACCAGCAACCTTTTGGTCACAGGGGCAGATCCTTAGCCACAGAGCCACTGTATTGATTATTGATTAACTTTATTGATTGTTCCTTTATTTCTTCTTGTGCTTTGTTTTCTGAGCCACAATAGTGTGAGCTTCTTGGCCATGTCATTACTATAAAAGAGTATAAAAGAGTACTTATTCTAAATTATCTGGATAAAGATGATGTTTAATACCACTATTGCTAATAGTTTTCCTCTAATGCTTTAATATACTATAAAAAACAAAATAACATTTATTGAACCGCAATCTTACCCTAAAATACTGGATACCAAAACTTACGTGTTTCCCGATTCTTATTTTAAATAAAATAGCTTTCTCAAAGAGAAACTCGATTTTAGGATAACTGGGATAAGCCGTTTATTATCTACAAAACGTTACTCGTGGGAACAGACCATTCTTAAATGCTTGGTTTATATGCTTTTCTGTGTGTAATCACCCGGAATCGACAGTATGAGCTCGGGTGGGAAAAAAAATGGCTAATTTAAGCATTTCAGCGAAGAATGGGATGAGACTGAAAATACTTTTGCCAAAGTAAACGTGATCTCTCGGGTTTTTCATTCAGATTCATACAGGTACTGTATGAATCTGAATGTACTAAGATGAACAGACGATGTTCAATGCGAGCATTATTTTGTAGTGGGAACAATTTACAGTGTAACAGCTGGCTTCTTCAGGACGCTGAGGTCGGCAGTCCGCACCCCCCTGCGGCCCCCCTCCCCCTGCCCGAGCCCCGGTGTGAGGGAGAGCAGGCCGGCTGTCTCTCCAGCCAGCGGCGGTGCGCAGACCGGTGGGGGCTGGGTCCTGCCGGGAGACGAGCGAAGGCGCTCGTGTTTGCCCGTCAGCTCCACAGGGAAGTGCAGGGCGATGGGAAGTCTGGTGCTGTGAGAGTCTTCGCTCGGACCGCCGCGAGGCTGTTCTGAAACTTGCTGGGAGACCCACAAATTCCGTCACAATAAAACTCAACACCGCGGATTTCGCATGCCTGGGAACTGAACTCTTCCCCTCTCTCTCTACGCTCTTTGCAAAAGTACGGTCTTGGATCTTCGGATGAAGACTTGCGTGTACTAGTTGGTAAGTTTACGGAACCAGTTTGCTTGTTGTTATTTATTTTGATGTAGCTAAATCATTTGATTACAGCTCGGGATTGCCGGTGTACCATACCTGCACTGTTGTCAGGTCTACTTGGAGGCAGAAACTTCGAACTAAACGCTGTTTATCATCACGTTTTCTTAAAAGCACCACACCACACAATAACGCATAAGTATATATAGAAACTCTTCAGCGATTTTGCTATTTGCTGTAGTGTTGTTTTCTGAGCAGTGAAAGCACGAACAAAACAACCGGTTTTAGTTTTACAACATCGTGTGAGACTCCAGGCTTCGCAACAGATCGGAACAGCACCGGCGATCGCAATTGCATGTATTGAAATGTGTTATAAGGCTCTTACTAAGGGGCAGATTCAAAATATTGTTGAGGAACTCTCCACACTTTGAAGTGCGTAATTATGTGCTGTCGAGTTCTCGCGTCGGGATGGAAGGAGCCCTTTGATGGTGCGATCAATATCGCAGTACGATGTCTTTATCTTGGGGTTTCGGTGCCGCGGTATGGCTCGGCCGGTATTTTAAAATCCAAATGAAGACAGTGGCGGTGTTTTTGATCAGAGTGAAGTGGGTCGGGTCGCGAGTCGACACCGGCAGAGCGCCGGAGTCAGCGGGGAACCGGCTGGTCACCGTGCGGCAGAGCGGCGCTCTCCGTGGGTGTCACGGTGCGCGCTTAACATCCCCCGGTAATGTTTAGCCCCCTCCTTCCGCAACTGAGCTTGTAACGATCGGGAGAAGGAATGTGCAATTAAAATCTTTCATTTGGGATTACTCCCCTAGATGCTTTTAGTAGAGGCTTGAGTAATAGAAAGTTAGGGACTAAAATTAACGTGTTGTATGCAGCTTGCCTATTTCATTGGGTTCCTAATATTGTAAAGACAAAACTACAGCTTACCATGCACATTCATTATGACTGTTCCATTAAAATCCGAGATAACGTTCAGTGTTCAGGTCGCGGTTTTGCGCTTTGAGATCAAGCGCAGTTTAAAATCCGCCCTGTGGTTTCTTCTGCAGTGCCGTCAAATGGCGGTAGAGGGCGATGTCCTGGATCTGTGAGGGGCAGTGAGAATGATTTGTGCCTACTCCGCGTCGTGCAGAAAATCCCTCTGACCTTGAGCCCGGGTGGGACTGTCTTCACTCGCTCTACTGAACAGTTAGGGAATCCACACTGGAAGTCATACAGAGCCCCACCATATTAAAATAAATATCCCCAAACTCGAGCTGTTTTTTTTTGCCCTACATATTTCTGCACCTGTGGTACATCTGCTCCAGCTTTGGGCTCGAGCGTCTGAGTCAGGCCTTATTAAGAACAATGCTTGCTAACAGTGTGGTACTTTTCAAGCTGGGTGCAGGGTTGTCAACTCTCTAACAATGTGGAACAGAATGTTATGACAATGACTTTGAGGTACAAACCTTTACCACAGTAAGGACAGGTTACTAAAATACAAGAAAGAAGACTTTGCTACATTCCACCATCCTTGCCTCTGTGACCTCACACGCAGAAGGGTTAAAGGAACTCAGTCTCTTTAGTTTTGTTTATTATAGGTGTGGACAGAACCGACCCAGATGACTTCTTCAAGCTAAACAGTGACCCAAATGTAGAAGGCCCTTGTTCTAAACACACAGTCTGCCGGACAGAACAAGCTGTCTGCTTTGTTGTTCAAGTTGACTGCTGGCAGCCTTCAGGCAGTAGCTGGACGATGACCTACAGTGCTAAAGCTCACCGGGGTGCCCCTGTGTAGCCCTTCTGCTGGCTTTGTGAGATGGCCTGGCTGCTGAGTGTGTGAAACAGTGGCATGACAGCAGAAGCCCTTGAGTTGCTGGGACGCCTTCAGCCCTGAGACTCCTGGGAGGGCTCTTCACCTCCAGTGCTGAACAGAGCGAACTCTGTGATCACGGACTGGCCAAGGTGTCACTTGGAAAAGGAAAATGTAGGTGTTGTTTGGTGCCTATCGGACAAGGACACAAGAAGCCGGTATCATATTTTATTTATAGCCTTTTTTTTGCAATAGATTAATGAGGCAGTGTAAAGTATTGCCTTAAAGGGGAATGCTCTGTGGTACCAGTGCCCTTGACGGCAGCAAGCTCTTCCCATCTGACTGATTCCACCTGTCAGCTCAGGTTTATCTCTGGCCCACTTAGCATTTAGAGAGGCTGGCCTTTATAAAACCCGAATCTTCAGTCTCCCTTCCACAAGCCTCTTATCAGTGGGTTTCAGATGCTGGTTTCATTTAGGGCTGAGCAAAGGGCTGTTATCCTGCAGCTGTGCTACAAAGACAGAGAATAAGTATTCTGTTTCATCCCCTACCTGATCCTGCACGGCACCAAAGGGTATTGTGTCAGGCTGGACAGTGAAATACAAGTTGTTAAAGAACAGTGGGATTCTTGAACATTGCAGGAAATCCTTGGAAAATGACAGCTTAATTCCAAGACTTGGAAACCTAATGAGGAAGGGTGGAATGGAGGAACAAATAAGTTTTGGGTGACAATGTGTTAACAGAATCATGGAGTTGTGGTGCTGTCTGTTGAAAAAGACGTATATTGTTATGATTTATTGAACTGATGACTTTAGGAAGGCATGATCTACCATCTGCATTGTAAAGGCCAGCAGTTTAGTTGCTGTGGTCTTGTGCAGGACTGACGTCCCATAGGCACAGTATAGTGTGCACAGTGACAGTGGAGCAGCAGGGCAGAGTGCGCGGGGAAGCGGGTGATTGCTGGGTGAGCAGAGAGGAGTTCTGAAGGATGTTATTAGAGAACTGCAGTGCGGCACAGCGGACGTGGCAGTGGAAGGCTGCGAGTTCTAATCCCAGGCGGGCTGCTGCTGTGTCCTTGAGCAAAGCGCTTCACTCACATTCACTTGTTGTAAATTGTTAAGTAAGGGCAGTGTGTTGATCGTCTGGGCTGATGACCAGGCTGTACGGTGATGGTGAAAAGGCTACCAAGAATGTTCTGGAGAAATTGTGGGCAATTTCATTGGATGGGGAGTTGAAAACCTAAAAAGGGAGGCTTTTGAAATATTTTTTATGCATCTACTGCTTTATCCAGTTCAGGGTTGCGGGGGAGCTGGAGCCTATCCCGGCAGGCAGGGAGCGCAAGGCAGGACAGTCCATCCCTGCACGGGACGCTGGTCCATCACAGGGCACCAAATGATTCCTTCTCTCATCGCAAATCTTCTTTCTGCGCCTGACGGCATTGCTCTTCTGCCAATGTAGATCTAGCGGATATGACGTGCATGTCTGTCTTAATAGACGCCCCTCCTCTCCCCCTCTCCAGCCTCGCTCTGCCAGCCTGCGCCCCTCCCTCTGTGGTCAATTACAGAACCCCCTCCTCCCCCACGCTGTCTTGGCAGGGACCAGCCTGTCTGAACTGCTGGCTCACCCAGTTGTTTTGATACATTTCCATTCCTGCCAAAAGGAACTCTCCCATCTTCTCTCTGCTGCGCTGGTGAGAAAATGAAGAAATGAAGCGAAGTCCGAAATATTGTGCAGCTGTCCCAGAGCAGGCCAGACATTAGGAGCTGCGGTTTATAATAATGTGCCCTGTATGAACAGCCAACAGTTCTTTGAATCTGGAAACCTGGACTGTGTTTTTTTTTCCACCAGGGGTTTGGTTTTGGTGTTGTAACTTCATCTTAAGCCTTCTTCTGTAATGTTTCAGTGCTGCAATGTTTTTGGAAAAGTGGTGAGTTTCCTTTCTGTCTTGAAGTAGACTTGATTTGTACAGTAAGTTAAGATTTGGCCCATCCAGTCTCTTCTGTAGTGTGTAGTTAATTGATCCCTGGAACTCATTCAGCTGTTCTTTGAAAGAAGCCAGGGTATCGGCTTCAACAACATGGCAGGAAAGCTTGTTCTACTCTCCCACAACCTGATACCCAGAAGAATAGCAGATTATTTTTTTCTGCAGCTGTTTGCCAGTTTAGCCAGTTTGAAGATGGGGCTGGTGGTGTAGATTATTTCTCATTGGCTGTCCTGTAGCACAGAGACTTGTAATCCACTGAACAAGGATGTAAAAAAAATAGTGTCACAGTGTCATTTGGGAATAGAGGGCAGAACTTTTTCTAAGGTCTAGGGCAATCGTTGTGTGAGACATGGTATATGGCTACACTCTGTGGGCTGTTCCCGTAATATGAAAAAGAACTAAATTATCCTGAAGGATAAATATGATGAGCGGCACGTTGGCGCAGTGGTTAGCATTGCTGCACAGCACTGGGGCTCTGGATTCTACCTGAGTTTGTGGTGGTTCTCCCAGGTGCACCTGTCCAAATACCTACTGGTAGCTTAACTGGGTTCTGGGAAAATTGGTGCTGGTGTGAGTGTGTGTGTCTGTTTGCGTCAGTCTGTGATGGACTGGTGTCTGTCCAGGGTGCATCCTGCCTTGTGCCTGTTGGTTGCTGGGATAGGACAAATGGATGGATGGACCAATTATTATACTTGATGAGTTTGAGAGACTGGTAATGGACGATGTTGTTATCGGCGACCCTCTACTGCTGAATCTGTCCATTCTAATGTAAATTCCACTCCTTTCCATGCACTCTTTCTCACTTTGCAATGCTGTGCTTGAGAGACCCTCTCTTCCTAGGGGATGCCAGATAGGGCTGGGCGATATATCGAAAACTTATCAATACTGACGTTAAGAATCTCTTACCGACCTCATTTTGATTATGTTGGTACGTTCGGTAAAAGCTTTCCCCAGTGTGTGCTTTCATGAGCGGTCCCCTTAAAAACTACAACACCCAGTCGTCACATGCTTGTGCCTCGTCCAAACAATCGTTCTTCATTCAAAACGCAAAGAAGCGTGCCGGGCATGAGGCAACACGAGCGCTTATGCTGAACCCCAGTCAGGCAGGGATGACTCAAGTACAAATGAAGACGAGCTGGTATCTAAAAAAGATGCAGTGTCGATCGTTTGGTCATATTGTGACTTCAGCAAACAGGATACTGAACAAAGAGAAGTCAGATGTAACCTCTG